GGGGGGGGGGGGGTTGCAAGGCCATTTAATCTGGTAAAAAATGGCCGGGCCAACCAAATAAGCGATCGAAAAGTTTTGAAAAATCGTGAAGAAAATGTATTTTTTTAGGAAATAATAATCAACGGGTTCAGTTTTGCATAAAAATGTACATTTTCTAGAAGATTTTTCGACATTTTTGTCGTTTTTTCGGATTTAAGCCCGGTCATTTTTGTTGCAATTTGTCGTCGTTGCGGATCAATAGCATGGCAAATTAAGGCCTTTGAATGAGGCAAATGCTGGTTTTTTCAAGCAAAAACGGCGGAAAAGGTGACAATTTGGAACGCAGGTTTTTGTCTTTGAGTGCAAATTGCACACTGATGCAAATTGCACACTATCATTTTATCATAACCAAGCTGGTCGATTAGTAGCCATCCTGTATTAACTGTGTGCAAATGACAGAGACGCACGTTTAGGTGGCAACTGGGAGTGAATGAAAAGGTCAGGCTTTTTCAAAAACATCGTTTTTTTCAAATATAAAAAAAAATTAATTGTGCTATCATTCAGCTAGCAAGGAAATTGCGTTATAATAAGCGATAGAAATGTTGAAAATTCTCCCCTGATATAAGGAAAAATCCTTATTACCCTCAATTTAGAGTCATATGTAGAGCGAAGGCCTTTTTCCACATATACCAATTAATCCTCAAAAGTGTAATTGCTGGCAATCCAACGATTTCTTTGCGGCACTTCGAAGCTCATTATCTCTCTGTTGTCTTCAGTTTCTTAATAATATGAATCGAGTTCATTGCAATATCATGAGTAAAAGACAGGCGGTTTATCACAGTTTGGCCCCATCACTTAAGTAAATGGAGTCGATCTATGACTTTCTAGTTTGCCTCTCGCGATATTCATGAACAAACGGACAGCTGTCGGGTGATGCCAATTGCAACAGTTAATGGAGTTTCGTTCCATTTCCAAGAGCGAAACTCTATGAAGAGTTTGAGCAAATTTGGGCTTTTGCTGCATCTGAGCTGTTAGCGTTTAATGCCGCCAAACATCGACAATAATCCAGCAATTAGATTCCAATAGCTGAACGGTCGATTCGCTAAACATGCATGAAATGCGGAACATTGTAAAACTCGGCAAAGCTCTCGATGGACAAGGATAATGCAGGTAGATAGACGATATTATATATGGAGCACGGTCTATATTGCGGGCCCCAAATTGACGTTCTATTAAGTTAACTTCATGCAGTATTGGGAAACCGACATACATTGTAAGTTTCGTCAGCCGGTAACAATGTTTCAGGCTTAGGAATCTATAGAACAGCAACAGATAATGTCATTGTTGGCTGTAGCAGGAGATGGGCGGGATTTGCAGCCAGTCTTCGAGCTTTAAGCTATTAGCGCCTGATGGAAAATGAAGACTTTACTGGCAGTACGATTACTTTGTTTAGTTTCTTTCGAGTGAATATTGTGGCATTTTTTGGGCTTCAATCTGGATCTATTTTTTAAATACCTTTCGTTTAAATAAGTTTTAATGTATTTCTGTTCTTCGCTCTTGAAAAGGGCAATGTGCTTTTCCATTGAAATCAACAGAAAAAATCGCATCATTCCAGTCGAAATATTTACAATTTACCGGATGGTTTCAAAGCCCAAATTGAGTCTCCACGTGTCGCTTAGCCCGGTGACTTTTTCATTTATTTTTCGAAAACTATGCGAGATTAAATTGTTTCCATATTCCTAAACATTTTTCCATGTTTCGTCAGTCAGTTTATTGATTAATACGCGCCCCGGACAGACATACGGAGACTGAAAAGAAGTTTCGGAAGTTTTCTTGGATGGCACTTTGACTTGCAAATTGTCCACATTCGACAAGGTACAGGGTGATGCCCTTTGTTCACTTGATTCAAAATTTTGTTTTTCCGTTGAACTCGCAGAAAAAAATATTTGCGAATTAATTAATTAAGGCGGGTCTTGAGAACCTCTCTTAGTCTTTGGTGCACCTCTGGAGAACCGGTTAAGCTTTGCATCTCTGAGGGTCAGTAGGACATCGATCCTTACAACACGTATATTTTTGTATCAAACATCGTTTTAGAAATGTTTCGTTTTCACGCAAAATGCGAAAATACTAAATGAGTTTTTATTATTACTAAACTTCATTTCACGGAACGCTTTTTGTTTTGATGCAAAATGTGAAAATTTGTGAAATCTGTCTAGACGCCGACGCCAATTTTAATCATCCTGTATATAAAAAAATATTTGCAAATTAATTAATTAAGGCGGGTCTTGAGAACCTCTCTTAGTCTTTGGTGCACCTCTGGAGAACCGGTTAAGCTTTGCATCTCTGAGGGTCAGTAGGACATCGATCCTTACAACACGTATATTTTTGTATCAAACATCGTTTTAGAAATGTTTCGTTTTCACGCAAAATGCGAAAATACTAAATGAGTTTTTATTATTACTAAACGTCATTTCACGGAACGCTTTTTGTTTTGATGCAAAATGTGAAAATTTGTGAAATCTGTCTAGACGCCGACGCCAATTTTAATCATCCTGTTTAACCAAAGTGTTATATTTTACATAAAATTGCTTTTAAGTGAAAAATTATTTAATTAAACTGATAAATCCGCCTGTAAAGCCTGCAGTATCGCTGTGACTGTTTATCCCCAGCAAACATGGTCATCGATGTTCCCATCCAATCCAGTTCCATTATTTCGAAAAGATCAATGCATTATTTGGTGAATAATTTATTTATAAAGCTTTCTGTTTTTGCGCGGTTTATTCATATAAAAAGCCCGAGTTGATTTGATTTATTATAAAAGTAAAAATATATGTATATGAATAAAATCAATGGAAAAAAGGCCTTTGCGTCCATTGTCTGAAGCTGGCAGGTTTCCGGGCTTTTAGACCGCAATGGAAAATGTTTTCGAAACATGATGAAAGAACAATCAAGGAACAATCGGCAAACATCAAGCTCCTATGAGTTTTCCTGTCGTCCATCCTTGCCATCGAAAATCCAATTATTAAGTCGAACGGCAGTTTCACATCGTTTTTCCACAGTTTCCATCAGTTTTCTTATGGAAATCCCCACTCTATAGTTTCAATTTGTGCAGATTCGGGCTTCCAGCAAATAAAAGAACCGTCGATTTCAATCAGTGTATCCAGAAGGCTGCTGGAAAGTTGCAACAAGTCGGCGGCATCAACAAGTTGAAAGCCAATTTAGCCAGTTTCGATGTTCGAAGTGGAAATGTTGGGATTTTTGATACGTTGATTAATTGCCTGCTTTTTCGTTCCCAGCGGTTTTTTTATTTAACTTAGAATCTCGCCTAAAATAAACGCGATTGCCATTGAACCGATTCCAGATAAATAAAGGCGCTTTTCAATTACAGAGCCCTGGAATCCTTAATCTATTTTTCACACTCTCCTTCATCAGTCTACAGTCTAATGTTTGCTTTGCAAATCTGTGCCATATCAATCAAGCTTGGCGTGTTTGGTTTTCCAGTTTTCGTTCGGGAAAAATGGTCGAAAGTCAAGAGCTGTTGTATGGAAAACATGCGATTTATTTAACTGTTTTAAACTTACGATGTTCGCTTCATTTTCGAATCCCTGTCCTCACGATTTACGCTCAATATACTACTAACAGCAAGAATAACACTTGACTAAATTAACAAATAGAGGGAGTTTGAGCGCGTTCAACACTTGGCGCTTAGCTGAATTAAATCAAGTGTGTTCTGCCGGTAAACAAAGCGCTTTGGACCAATAAACAAGCTTGATTCAAAGGTTCCCTTTGCCTCAAAGCATGCGAGCACATTAAATTGCCCCCATTCAAGCCCCTTTTTTAAATAAATGCAGCTATTCAACTGCTCAGCCAGCTGAAGGTTATTGGAAATAATCGGCTTCTTTAATCCCATGGATGATTACTGGGAAAAGTATCCAGCAGTCTCAATGGTTTTTGATTTCAGCCGTCTCTTTGCCTTCCTACATTTTCCTCTAATTAATGTTGCTTCTTGCCCGTGCTGTTTAAAGAACGGATGGGCGTGAAAATGACTGGCATTATCAGCATCGATTTTCACAATCTAAGGAAGGCAAGCCAAATTAAAACGCCCAACAATTATGCACAACACGGCGTTTTTTTGGAAAGTTTCTTCAAGTCGGAGTTTCACTGATATTTGCCCGCTTGGGCAGTGTTTACCCGAATTCATCTTTAGTTGGGGAGTTTCATTTTAACAGGCACACAAAGTTGCATTTGCAATTTGTCTTAGAAATGAGCTGCGAAGTTTAATGCCTCTAAGTAAGTATAAACTTCCAGCAGCTTTATTAAAACTTTCCTTCGGTGTTGATAGCAGGCTCTGGAAAATTCTGTTTTTTTGTCAATTTTTCCTGTCTTCAATTTTCATTGGGCGTTTTTGCGTTCGGTTGGTTCACTGGGAGAACAATTCTTTTGCAGTAATCTTGTGCAGAATTTTGTGAATTTTGGGAAGTTTATCAGTTTTCGATAAACAGTTTCCGATCAAAAGCAGCAAGTTTCAAGCCGTTTCAGCTGCGAAACTCTATGCCAGTTGTTTCGTATTGTTCGCTGCCTATAATGGGGTATTTGAGACCTTCTTACAATGCCGCGCTTCTGTAAACTGCATTGATTTTCCTTCTGGGGAACTTGACTTGCAGGACAATCGGAAAAATGTTTTTATTCGAATGAATCAAAAAGTGCCATTTTGCGAACAGAAGCGATGATCAAAAAGAAGCACTTTTCTTTAGCGTTCATTTGTTTTACTTTTACGCACGGACTTTGCCGCACAGTGTGCGACAAAGTAAATGTGACACTTTGAACTTGCCACTGTCATTATATATTTTTTAGTATTTTTATTTAAAAATAACCGAAATTCTTTTTTAAGGAATTACGTAGGTTTATCAACAACTATTGATCCTATTTTCAAGTTTACTTACAATTTGTAAATTATACCTTTGTTACAAGTTCAGTCTCATAATCGTTTTAATGCCCTACTTATCTACTTTTGCGATGTTGTCACACGTAAAACACTATCTTTTTAAGAAGCGCAAATGTCATGCAGAGTATGCAACATGCATACACCATCCCAAGACCTCAAGTTGAAAAAGTACTGAAACTTAATTACAAACTTCAAAACATGACATTTCAAAAAATGACATTGCCACAAAATTTTAAATATGAAATCGATGCATTT